TGGGGGTGGTGGTTTGATGGAGTGTGGGTCGTGGCCTGAAGGGAGTGTGTGTGGGTGGTGGTTGTTGGAATGTGTGTATGTGGGTGGTGGTTGTTGGAATGTGGTGTGTATGTGGGTGGTGGTTGTTGGAGTGTGGGTGGTGGTTGTTGGAGTAGGTAGTCATAATGGAGGCTTAATTTTTTTGAGTTTGTAATCGGCCCGCGCGGTGGCTTAATACGTAGTTCTATGTGCAGAATCATGTATACTTCAGATTTGAAAAGTTTTCATTTTTTTGCTAGGGTAAATTTAACTTGAAATCTTATAGTAATTAGTATTCCAACCCTGCCTAAATTACCACCAAATAGCCGTATTTAAAGTAAAGTAAATGTATCGGTTAATTTATTAGGATGAAAATGATCCAGAATAGTTAGAAACCAATGATCTTGACACACATTTATTAAATCTTCTAATATTCCTTTTAGAAAACAAAATCATCAAATACAAAACCGTTTACTACTAATACCAGGTGTTAAGGTATCACCATAGAGAACATGTCTTCTTGCTTCTGTTTCTACTCATCACCTCCCTGCTGACCACCGGTTTTGATGCCTTTTACCTCCTCCTGTACATCGCGACTGCCGCCCGCCACTTAAGCGTACACAACGCTTCTATACCTGGGTGTGCGCGAGGCCAGGCAGGGACATGCATGGGTTGTCCAGGAAAGCTCTGATTGAACATTGGTGAGGCTGTGTAGTAAGAGGGGGGCTCACTGCCAGCCTGATGTTATCCTAGATCGCAGACGTAGAGGGCTCAAGAATCTAGATTGACTTCAGAGTCTTCCTGACCCTGAAGGAATCGCCACCAACTGATTCACATGCCCAATCCCTCATATAGTCTCATATCCAAGATCTTTTGACTGCCACTTCTCTCCTCATCCTTACCGCAGAACATTGTCTTCGCAGAACTGCCTCGGGATGAGCATATACTGTAGCGACTCCCAGCCCTGCCCGCCACCCGAACAACCTTCCTTGGCTACCTCAGGAGCCTGCTGAAGAGAAATCGATGCCTTCGACCTTCGGAGAACGTATTATGACTTAACCTTTGCGCTGTCCAATTTGGCAAGCAGACACTCAATTTATGAATTGACAATAAGTCTCAGGTTGTGAAGTTGGTTCCTCTTCAGTTTACATGATGAGCGCACCCAAATTCGCTATAACCTGAGAGCCGCTAGAGCCACCTAGAATGTGAGACTGGACCTATCTGCAGGTAAGCAAAGTCTATCAGGCATGACCCCAGTTTTACACCAAAAATCATGTAACCATAGTATTGGTCAGTACTCAGGTCGCCAATAATGACAGTATGTGCAAGCGCAACGGAGGGCCAACTGTGATTTTTTCAAAGCTCGATTGCCTTTAACTCAGTGTGAGTCCAGCATCTTGCCACAAGAGGACCAGACCTGTTGTTTGAGAGTTCATCCAGCTCCTGGATCAGATGTCTGAGTGGCAACTCGCTGGTGTGGAGGCCGCAAAACAATCCAGACCACAGCTCTCTCCCACCGCTTCATTCACTGGGCATGGCACTTCTGCCACCCTGTGTTCGTAGGCTGGAAAAAGGTCCTCCAATGGCCTGCAGGGTCTGGTCTACGCCTCTCTGAGCCAGTTCACAATGTTATCTGCTATCTCAGCTGCTGGTTGTCATCTTTTCTATGAGTGAAATGCCACAAATATTTCCTGGTTCACTGCAGCAGGAGTAGTGTTCCTCCCTTCACCATGGCAGGAACAACTTGTCAGAATCTCCGCTAACCTTCATGAACACTTTAGTGTCATCCCTTCTCCCGTATCAAAGAAATTCAAACAATTGAGTCTCACTTTCATCTCCAGACAACCTCTAGGTTACTGACAAGCCCTGAGCCTCCCATTTTGTTATGATCTATCACCACAGGTGAACATCAGGTGTTATCAAACCAATCGGCTAACCCAGGCAGCTGTTGCTATCTCTCTGCAGTTTCTCTGAGACCAGTGTGGTGGGTGTCGCATGTTGCCAGAGCTATGCTCGGATATTCTTCCGCTCTCGGAATCTTATGCCTGGAAGGTCTGGGGATCATTATTTTCTGGGATGTCACCATTCTCCTGGTCAGCACTCGGATCGTTTATTTGGGAAGTCATTATTAAATCCTAACCGGCTTGACTCCAACCATCGTGTCTTTTTACCCTCACCCTGGGCCTTCTCAAGTCTCGCAACTTTTCTCCTTCTGTCTCTGTGGCAGCCTCTGTCTCTTGGACTGAACATCTTGGCAAAACGCCGAGAGCCCCTATACTGCCAGTCTTCTCTGTGCTTTGACAAATGCCAGTTCGACCACAGGAATCTCTGCCAGTTCACGCGCTGAAAATATACATTGGACATAAAAGCCTTCATTAGAGAAAGGTAAAGGAACATACAGTGAGCATACAGATTAATGTAGGTGTTGAACAGGAAACATGTAGTGTAGTAACTCCCTCACAGATGGTGTTAGGAGGGACCTCACGTGGTGTAGTAGTTCCCTCACAGATGGTGTTATGAAGGACCTGACGTGGTGTAGTAATTCCCTCACAGACGGTGTTATGAGGGACCACGTGGTGTAGTAATTCCCTCACAGATGGTGTTATGAGGGGCCTCACGTGGTGTAGTAACTCCCTCACAGATGGTGTTATGAGGGACCTGACGTGGTATAGTAATTCCCTCACAGATGGTGTTATATGAGTGAGGTGTGGTCTCAATCCTTCCTATCGTAGACGGATTAACACTTCGCTGGTTGTTGTTGGGTCTTTGGCCGTTATCACTGGGTACCTGGGGCCTCACTGTGTGAAGGTTAACTTGGGTACGACTGTTACTGTTGAGTTGTTCTCACTGACTTAAGCGCTGTTCACCACTGTTCACCTCTGTTTAACACTGGTTCCATTCCTTTCCTAAATGAAATTGTAACTTCTGGCGAGAACTTGTTGATATTCCGGTGGGGAGGGAGTTGGTATGGGCCAACTTAACAGTTGACCTGGCTGCTCCGAGAGGAGCGCCAGGTACGTCTTGACCCTTCGGTGGTCAAGGATGTAGTGTATGTGGGTGGTGGTTTGATGGAGTGTGTGTGTGGTGGTTTGATGGAGTGTGTGTGTGTGTGTGTGTGGGTGGTGGTTGTTGGAGTGTGTGTGTGTGTGTGTGTGTGGTGGTGTTGGAGTGTGTGTGTGTGTTGGCTGTTGGAGTGTGTGGGGTGGTGGTTGGGAGGTGTGTGTGTGTGTGTGTGGGTGGTGGTTGTTGGAGTGTGTGTGGTGGTTGTTGGAGTGTGTGTGGGTGGTGGTTGTTGGAGTGTGTGTGTGGGTGGTGGCTGTTGGAGTGTGTGTGTGTGTGGGTGGTGGTTGTTGGGGTGTGTGTGTGTGTGTGGGTGGTGGTTGTTGGAGTGTGTGTGTGTGTGTGGGCTCAAAAGATGATGTAATGAGTCATTTCTGGAACTTCCGAGAATATTTATCCGTTACCCACAAAATTCTGGGGATGAGGGAATTTTTTCTGGCTTTGAGAGAGTTGTCTTTACCCGAAAATCTCTCATTCCCAGATGTGTGCTGCACCAACTGTTCCGGCAAACGGAGATATCACGGTACTGTAAATTTAGAGTTTAACCTCATGCGTATCAGCTGGCATTCATAAGTCAGACGTTCGTAAGTCAGGGACCCCCTGTATTGAGTCTAGCCTCAGTGGCTGAGAAGTACTCTCAACCTCTAATCCAGTTTGGGTCTAACTAGCATATGGTAAAGGCGTAGCAGAGTTTCTCGGTCAGCATCCCATGATGTGTGCCCCAAGACGCTCGATAATGTGGGATACCTGTACGCTCAATATTGAACTGTTATAAAGGTTCACTACTGCATATATGAACATCCTTCAGGGCTTGTACAAGGAGGTTGTCTGTTGTAATATTTATATGTCATAGATTCTCTCTGAAATAATTTTTACAGCCAATTTTTGCTATAGAATGAATTGTCTGTGATAATGAGGTGGCACCTCTTCATGATAACAGTCTCTTGTAGCCTCTCCTTTTATGCTCCTAACTTTGGGTTAATTTTTTATAACCTTTCTCCAAGTAATTTTTGCCTTACCTCTAACTTTCCTCCCTTCCACAGTCAGACTTATGTACAGTATCTCTTGACCCCCTTGGGTTTCCTTCATTTTTCCCCTTATGGTCAAACCATTTCAACTTACTTCCATGCAAAACCTTTCCATTACACTCAGTACCTATCCACCATCTTAGCTCTGAACAGGGCCACCTAAATTTCAGAATCACATTACACATCCACCTCACCATTCTCATTTTAGTTCGATCTACCTTGGATATGTTATCCTCTTGAACTGCCTTTGTTTCACATTCATGAGCAACACAACATCACACTTCTCTTGCCATTGGAATATATTTTTCCTTTCATGTGAATGGAAGGTCTTCTTGCCATCAATAAAGGCAGCAAGTCCTTATACTGTACTTTACATCTTCCAGCCACTTCTAACCCTTGTAGCTTAACTTGCTTCAGCACCATCCCCAATGTTGAGTTTCTCCAACCTTACTATAACCACATGCTTTCCAATATCTGTACATGCAGGACACTTAAAATTAGTAACATCTGCAGTGTGTTCCCACCTTCCACACTCACAGAACATAATTGAGTTACTGTAATGCATTTCTTACAGACAACATATGGCCATTTTTCTTCCTTGTGTCTTTCATTCATGCCACTATTCAATACTTTTATTTTTGCCACATTCACGCATACCATTTGAATCCATTCCTTCGTTTTATTTTGTAAATTTCTTCACTGCCTTTTCAATACTATCAGTACTAAGTCTTCAAAATACAACTCCCAGGACAGACCAGTCCTTAAGTCCCATGATGATATCTCCAGCACCTTGGTAAACAGAAGGTGGCTTAAGCATACCCTTGATGAATCCCTACTTTTGCTGCTAATTCCTCACTTTCCTCACCATTTAGTCTCTCAGTGGTTCTTGAGCCCTCATACAATATCATAACCACTCAAAGAAGACACTTCTTGACACCCTAACATTCTCATTGCCCACTGCACTGCCATATGGTCCCCAATCATATGCCTTCTCTAGGTCTACAAATACAAAGTACTGTACAGCTTTCTTTCTTTCTCTAGATATTTCTCTTACAGTTACCTGACCATAAATATTGTATCTTTAGTTTTACCTGGCGTGAACAAAACTTCATTTCGTTTATGTCCAGTCTTTTCCTTATCAATTTCCTGATAATTCTTTCCATAATTTTCATAACCTGATTTGACAGCTCCAGGCTCCTGTAGTGCTCATGTCCAAGTGCATCACCTTTACCCTTAAATGTATTATATTTATGCTCTTCAGCCAGTCAGCAGGAAGTTACTGGAAGAGTACACTCCATCATAATTGCATTAATCAATTTAGCCACCATCCACATGTCAATATAGTCTAATGTTTTCAACATTTCTGCAATTATTCACAAGGATTTTGTCCCAATGGCCAGTAGGTGCATGTTTTGTCCATGCAACAAGTTCAAATCTGTAGTTCGTACATTTCATTTTGATGTAGTTGACACCTAATGACAGCATTACTACTGTCACACTACTTATATGGACATACAGATGTAATCTTGTTAAGTGCTTCAGTATATCACTGATAAAATATTCTTCTCTCTTCAGTTAAATAGCGAAACACTTCAGGCTTAATTTTATCTTTTAATTTCAGACTTCAACTCACCAGCCCTGTGCAAAAGCACTTTTTAATTATGAAAGGAAAGAAGCAAGGTATGTGTTTATCAATTTGTTAATGATATTTTAACCATCATACTTCACAAACATAAAACACTTTGATCAAGTGACTTGCTGTTAAATTCCTACCAGCTATATCAGTGCCATTGGGAGTTCTCCACAGAAAGTGGATAATGAATTATTGAATAACATTATATGCATGTTCATCACCATACTCCCCTCTATCTACATAAAAAATAGCAGGGGTAATGAATTATTGGAATATCCAAAGGTTATTGCATTCCTAAATGTCAGTGCGAAGAATTAATGTAGTAAATAACCGACAACTTTCACAACATATTTTTCGAAATTCAGTACTGGACAGGTATATTGTATCCTGTAAACCAACATCCCCTCAACTGCCACTTTGCATTACCAAGTATTATATATTAGAAAAATACAGTGATATCCTTGTTAGCCAAAATAATTGGTGCAGAATACTTCCTTGGATGATAGATTTCCGGGTAACCAGACTACTTTCTCAAACCCGGAAAAATTCCTTATCCCCGGAATCTTTTCCGATTACTGGGAAAAGTTTCCAGGTGTTTAAACTAGATATTTTGCACAGACAGATAACTAGCCTACAGTACTTCCCCAAAACATTTCTGGGTGCTGGGGATGTTTTCCTTGAGTCTAAACCAAAGGTGAGCATGCGCAACTTTTGTTTTTTGTGCCGCAACCATAACTCTGCTGAAATAGTTGCGCTGCAACCGCAACCATTTTCAAAAAGTTTCGCCGCAAGCACAATCGCGACTTTAAAAAAAATAATAATTAACAAATACTAAAATTTAAAAATTTGCCTATTTCCAAGTAAAACTAAATAAAATTGATACAAAAAAGTTAATATTATCAATATTTTTTTACAAAATTACAAAAAAATGCCTCACTGCCACTGGCCTCAGTCTCAGTGGACTGGCTGTCAACAGTCTCAGTCACTTCAACTTCTGTGTCCATGTCCTGGTCGGCAGCGGCAGGATCACTGCTGCCGGCCGCAGACTCCTCCTCGTCACAAAACGATCCATAATACTAGTACTAACAAGAAACAAAACAACAAGAAACTGACGCCTTAACTGCAGTGCTACTGACTGCCTGACTGGTTATGATATGAATCATTCCTCCCTCCCCTTCCCTCGCTGTAGATGCCAGATTTCATCTTTCACATTAACTCTAGTATCTAGAGTTTATGTGAAAGATGAAATCTGGCAACTACAGTGAGGGAGCAACGAAGGGGGGGGGAGTCACATCTGGTTTACAGTTCAGAAATATGCTGCCCCACCTGTATCATGTGTATGCTGAATCATTCCGTCAGAAACAGAAATTTTCGTAATGCGCGGCTCTAGGGATGCCCGTTTGTTTATGCGGTTGTATTCCAATTTTCAATTATTGACAAAAAATTTTGCGCGTTGCTTAAAATTGCTTGTAAAAGTTGTGGCGCGACCAGTTCTGCAACTGTCTGGAAAAATGTGCGCCGCAACCAAAAAAGTTGTTGCACAAGTTGTGCCGCAACTTTTTGTGGCGCAACTGCCCACCTTTGTTTTAAATTACCGGAATCCATAAATTCAATTCTACTGAACTTAGAAACTTCATTTCTTTACTATACTAGTCCAAAATAGTTTATCTAAAAGTTTAGTTACAGTAAATATATTTAAAAATTAAAAATCTATATGATACGAGCATGAATGAAGCTGTGTGTTACAGCAAAGACTGTTATTATCCACTCCCATGGAGCTGTGGGGGATTAGTGGGTCTCATGACCTGAAGATGTCTTGAATAAACATGAAACCTAATGTATGTTGACGGAGATTGTGGTAAGTATTGGTATAAATGAGCAAGGTTGTATCCCTTCAACATTATGTTAAATAACATTTTAAAATATGGAGTGAGAAAGCAGAAAGGTGTGGGTAATTAGAGGGATGGAGTGGAAAGGAGTGTTGCCAAGCACTCCTTAACAGCTGATATTTAACTCACTACCACAGTCACACACATGTAAATTTATCATACAATACGATCCTCACTCTTGCTTGCCGTCTGAATTCCCCCCTCTTTTTTTTGTGTGTGTGTGTGTGTGTGTGTGTGTGCGTGCGTGCTCTCACTTTCACCTGCCGCCGCTGGCTAGCCCTCGTAGTGAACAGGGAAGCAACTTGCACAAGTCTTCCCCTGCCAGTACACAGCCTCCTCACCATCAAGACTGCTGTTGTGCCTCCTCGTGGCATCACTATGTTGTAACAATGTCAGGAGTTCCCGCAAAGTTCGAGCCAATAGAAATGCTTTAGCCTGTCTTCAGTCAATGAGGAGGCCTAGGAGGCACGACGCCATGAAGCTGTTCTTTTGTGCCACACAGTTTGAAAAAGCCAGTTTGTGTTTGGTCAGAGTTAAGTTTGATTGTGCCGTGGGTGTCACCTCCTCATATGGCGGCTATAATGTGAGTACCTATTAGGTTTGATCCGTTTCCCAAATGTATTGTGAGTCAGATGACCCCCTTGTCAACTTGCTAGGAAAATAGGTTTATTGTTTTGAAGTATAATTGTCAAACCCTAATAGAAAGTACTGTATTCAATAAATACAGTAACCGTTGATAAGAGTCCTAATTCATCCCTCCCTTATTGAGAAAGAGTGATGTGTTATAAGTGTCTGTGGTATTATGCAGTGATACAGTGAATTCTAAATAATAAGTATTTCATATTTCCCCTCTGAAGTGTTGCATCGTAGTACACAGCTATCCACCATCTCAGCCTCCCCATGGTGTAAAAATAAAAACCGACTGACCGCAACCCCCCATCCTCACATCTTCCCTCAGTCTCCTCGTCCCCTCCACTCCACTCCTCCATAACCTCCCTCATCTCACTAGTCTTGCAAGTATAATGAACAGAGAAAAAAAGAGAATGAGATAAATTTAGAAATGTAAGAAATATAAATTAGTAATTAAATATAAAGAATTAAAAAGGAACCAAACAGCTAATTTGTTACACGGTAACTGGGTGCCTCGTGAGCCCAGGCTAGACCAGCAGGGGATCTCGGAGTAGCAGTGGGCCTCAGAGGGATGGTGCATAGGCCCACTGACATGTGGACATGTCCTGGCGCCAACCAACCACTGCCCCGCTGCCTTGCAGATTAACCTTGGCAGGTATAAGGCTACGGGAGTAAACCCCGAATGAAAAATCTGCGGTGGAGCCCCGCACTGGGCTGACATGCTGGCAGAGCTCCAACAAGACCCCAACGGCAGTATAGGCGGAAGAGGTGACCAACATGGAAACCCAAGGACTACACCGGCGGACGAAGGCAGTGCGTGATGGACAGACTACTAAGACGAAACCCAACAAACTGGGCTATCGGCAGTTCATTGCAATTCTCCCTCTCCCCAGTCATTGCACCACTGGATCAGGAAAAGGGAGAGCCATGATGTGTGGTTGCAGCCTGCGCTCCTTTCCTCACCATATTAGTCAACTCATGCGCAGCCATCATCCAGCTCATCATACCTCTCATCATCATCAAAACCACTATACCCCCAAAAGTCCTATGGCGGCGGACGAGTGGAGACGGGGGCGGGCAGAGGTGACTGCCGGGAATCAAGTCACAACTCTGCACATGGGCGGCACAGATAAGATGGTCGTTTATGCACTGGGATCTAGGCAGTAGTACAATCCAGTTCTGTCTGTGTGACTGAGCAGCCCTTTTGAGGAGCCACTCTACTCACCCTACATGGGGAGGGGGGCTAGAAAAAGTGCCCTAAACATAACCTGACTGGGCAACCGCACCCAGTAAGGTCATCCTTATGCTATTGCAAACACAATCAAAATCACAGATTCAAGCAAAAACAAACTGTACAACCTCTTAGGGTTGCTGCATGGAATGTCAGGACCTTTCTGGATACTGGGACAAATGAGCGTCCTGAAAGAAGAACTGCACGTGTGGCAAAAGAACTGGCTAGGTATAACATCAACATAGCAGCCATCAGTGAGTCCCGGCTCCCAGGCGAGGGTCAACTCACAGAATGGGAGTCTGACTACATTACTTCTGGAAGGGTAAGCCTGCTGCGGAGAGAAACCACATTTATGGAGTTGGCTTTGCCAACCGCCAACGCATCCTACACAGGCTAACTGAAATGTCTATTGAGATCAACGAGCTCCTCATGACACTCCGAGTCCCACTGAATCACTCACGTCATGCCTTTTTCATCAGTGCATACTCCCCAACACTGGATGCAGAGAATGACATCAAGGAGGCCTTTTATGCTGACCTTGACAGAGTGCTAACCTCTATCCCCAGAGAAGATAAGGTTGTGCTCTTTGGTGACTTCAGTACCAGAGTTGGCAAAGATAATGACATTTGGCAGGGAACCATAGGGAGAAATGGACTAGGCAAGTGTAATCCCAATGGCCTACTTCTCCTCAACAAGTGTGCTGCACACAACCGCACTATCACCAATACCTTGTTTAGGCAGGCTGACAAGTTCAAGGGATTGTGGTAACACCCACGATCCAAACACTGGCATCTCATTGACTACATCATAGTCAGAGAAAGAGATTGCCGAGATGTCTTTATCACCCATGCCATGTGTGGCTCAGACCACTGCGACACTATTCATCCTCTCATTGCCAGCTCTCAATTCACGTCACCCCAAAATGGTGAAGGCAGCAAGCCTCCAGAAGAGGTTTTAACACTAAGCGTTTGGAGAGCAGCTCGAATATGGGCTGGTAAACAACCCGAAAAGAAACGACCCCAATACCAGTGCTGAATGGGATATTCTCGACACTGTTCTAGCGTGTTGCTAGGGATACCCAAAGAATGTTCTATACTACTGAGGGTATACACAAACACTTGTTGTCTTAAAAGTAGGTTCTATTCTCGTACGGGAGATATATATACAAACAGTAGGACGCAGAAGCCCGTGGTCACGCCACAGAGGACTCAGTCTTCTCTCTTTACATCTATCTATGTATTACTACGCGCTGGCCTGTACAGATGCCAGCATTCACAAGCTAAATACATAAAGTATA